CTTTCTCAAAATGGGCGGTACTTTTTAGATGTGTTCATAATTCGATTCAATTAAGGCGCAGAGGCCAGGAAAAAATATAAAAAGAGTGAGCAGGACCTTCTGCGTGCAGGGCATGCGTAAGCTTAGCGAAGCCCCGCCCACGGTGGGCGGGGCGTGCGTTAAGGTGAAAGCTACTTTTCAAAAACGAGTGTAACTTCGTTCGGAAACGTTCTAGAATGCGAGAAAAAAGTGATTGGTGGTCATGGAACAAATGTGGCCAAACCCTCGAAGTGGGCGGAGCTTAGATCAAAAATGTATAACTCAGTTCAGAAACGTTCTGGGATGCGGCAAAAGGGTATTAAGGTGTAAAAGAACAAATAAGGTCAAATCCCAGAAGTGGGTGGGGCTGGCACCAAAGTGGGCGGAGCTTAGATCGAAAATGTATAACTTAGTTCAGAGACGTTCTGGGATGCGGCAAAAGGGTATTGAGGTGTAAAAGAACAAATAAGGTCAAATTCCAAAAGTGGGCGGGGCTGGCGTTAAAGTGGGCGGAGTTGGCCCTAAAGTGGGTGGGGCTAAGACAAAAATGTATAGCTCAGTTCAGAAACGTTCTGGGATGCGGCAAAAGGGTATTAAGGTGTGAAAGAACAAATAAGGTCAAATCCCAAAAGTGGGCGGGGCTGGCACTAAAGTGGGCGGAGTTGGCACTAAAGTGGGTGGGGCTAAGACAAAAATTTGTAACTCTGTTCAGAAACATTCTGGAATGCAGCAAAAAGGTATGAAGGTGTAAAAGAACAAATAAGGCCAAATCCCAGAAGTGGACGGGTTGGCACCAAAGTGGGCGGAGCTTTCAACAGAAACGTATAACTCTATTCAGAAACCTTCTGGGATGCGGCAAAAACGTTTTAAGGTGTAAAAGAACAAATATGGTCAAATCCCAAAAGTGGGCGGGGCCGGCACCAAAGTGAGCGGAGTTGGCACTAAAGTGGGTGGGGCTAAGACAAAAATTTATAACTCTATTCAGAAACCTGGGATGCGGCAAAAAGGTTTTAAGGTGTAAAAGATCAAATAAGGTCAAATCCCAGGAGTGGGCGGGTTGACACTAGAGCGGCCGGGGCTTAGATCAAAATTTTAAAGCTATTTAGAAACGTTGTGGGATGCGGAAAAGTGGTAAAATTTAGTAGAACAAATGTGGTCAGATTCCACAAGTGGGCGAGATTGGCACTAAAGTGGGCTTACATTGAGATTATTGAGTACTCTTTATGGCCACACACGGCCCCATCTCACTTCCCAAAAAAACGATGGCCACTACAGAAGTGTTAGGAAAGAGGCTCAGATGACAAAGGTCTATATTGAAAATCAGAAGCTCATGTGGCTCCGTCCCTTATGGCTAGAGCCTCTAGCGCACGCAATAGCGTGCCTAGCCGCCTTGTAGAGAAGAAAGCTCCAAGAACATCCTCATTCATGCAATGTCGGCACACTCCAAAGCTGTTAAACGCGCTGTATTACGGAACATATACATAACGGCTGTGGAGGTGTGCAGCGGTAACGAGGAGTGTTAAGAGTCCAGAAGGTTAGCACACCAAATAGCTAATCTGAATGGATACACAACTCGGCAGCATGGCTCACGAAGCAGATCAACAAGGCCTTTTCCATATGGAACTGGAGATAAGATGTATCTTCAATTACCATTCATATCACATCGATTCAGCGCAGTTATTCAGCAATGCCTGCAAAGAGCAGATCTAACCAATGACGTTTTCTTGGTGAACACACCGAGAGAAAACATTAAACACCAGTTGGTTAGAAATCGTCCCCATGACAGGGCTGTCTCAATTGCTCTATCGTCACGAAAATTGAGCAACTGTTCGGTATTGGTGGAATTAACGTGAGTGACTTGTCGCAGTTTCTTATTAGTTATAAGTTCATCAGCCTAAATTGCAACTAGTTAAGAGCTGGTCTACGTCAAGCGTGATAGGTAACACTCTAAAGTTGCGATACGCTTTCATGCCTTCGATAACGAGTTAGTCGAAACGTCAGGCGAATAAAGATTCTTCCATTAAAAAACCTGGCTGGCACAGAAGCGCTGACTAATAACAATTTTGGATCTTTTTCTCTTAGCCTGCCCACCCCTGTGCGAACTCGGGATAAAACAACATCCCCTCCCTAACTTTTAACAACTTTTCCCGCGTTCTAGAACCTTTTAAGCAGAGTTACAGATTTTTGATCCTGACCCCGCTCACCCTAGCGCAAGCCCCGCCCTTTTCTGAGGCTTGACCGCGTTTGTTCTATTACCTCTAACCACTTTTGTCCAGCAACCTAGATCGTCTCTGAACAGAGATATTCATATTCATCCGCACGAGAGCTGGGAGGTCAGAAAAAAAATTAGTACTAAAACAAGCCGCTTAGCGACAGGCACGCTGCAGAAAGTGGTCATGGAGGGTTTCATCACGGGTTCACCCAGACATCATTAGACCAGCCCACTCGCCCGGCTGACGCAAGAATCCTCTCCTCCCTCCTTCTCGTGTTAAAACGGCCTCCTTGCCGGCACCTTTTCCAATTTGTAAGCTTCGCTAGATGAAAACAGGAGTTATTCATTCCCGACCAAACACATACACTCAACACAATTCTTTAGGTTCAAGTGTTTGGGCAACTCTATTTTTTCCGACTTATCCAACCTTGGTTTCGAAATTCGTTTCAAGTCTAAATTAACATTTTCTTGCCCACGCCTCGCCTCCTGTGGGCGAAGATAAGGCCTGCCGCCTGTATTTCTATTGAATATGAAGTGACGAAAAGACTTCAGACCTCACCAAATAAATTCTACAATAACCTTGGCTACACAGGTGCATACCCTGTAGAGACGTGTAAATCCCTACAACTACCCAAAGGGGCTTCCCTTCAAATTTGGTGTTCATGGCCACACACAGCCCAAATTACAGAGTTTTCGAGTACATGGACTGCAGAGGTATTGGATTTGGATAAATCGGAGTACTCTTCGTGGCCATCCACAGCCCCATTTCACAAACTAAAAAAAAATGATGGCCGCTACAGAGGTGCCAAGGAAGAGGCTCAGATGATAAAGGCCTATAATGAGAATCAGAAGCTCATGTGGCTCTGTCCCTCATGACTAGAGCCCCTAGCGCACGCAATGGCGTGCGTAGCCGCCTGGTTATAGTCATACTCCACATTTTACCTAAGCGGATCGAAAAGACAAGGGAACAGAAACTTTGAACTGGGACAAGACTGATTTCCTGAGCTGACGGGTTGTCAAAAACAAAGTTCTCCTCGCCCACGTCACCAAAATTCAACGACGATGTCTGGAGCCGGCTGAGTCCACGCACTTACGCATTCGTTTCAAGCAGAATTGAAGATGTTTGAAACTTTCTTTTCGTCAGAACGATCTTATGTACAACGCCTTTTGTTCCATGGCTGAAACCCAAGTTAAAGAGAGACTTCGCCGGCAGACAACAAAAAAAAAAAACTATCGCTCGATCGATTCTGTATTAGTGCCGGCTACGATGATGCTGTTGCAGCATTGCTACATGTGAATTATGGCAGCCCACGAGCATGCCAACACTCATTTCATTCATGCCAGTTTCAGATACTATCTTGATCCTTTAATCGTTCTCATCAAAAGTCTCTCATCAAAAATTTCGGATAGCATCCTGATCCTTTAATCATCCTCATTAAAAGCTTTTCATCAAAAAGGAACACGATCGTCCGCAATTACTGACAGTACTCGCTCGGAGCGCAAATTCATTGTCCATAAAACAAAGGAGAAGCGACCGGGACTGTTGGTATCGGCTGCCAACGACAAGGTTTTATCTTGCCATAAATGTCATTCACTAAGGAGCAGACCCGATCCTGTTACTACACTTGTACATATATGAAGTTACGAATCACGGATGATCTTCCTTTTCAGTGGCTGCGATCTTCTTATTAATCGCACTAGGAGGATCGACCTGCGTTATGAGATCCATATAAGCCTCTTTTATCTCTCAATTCCAATCCTTGAAAAGTTCCATAAGATATGGTAAAAAGATCATAAGGAGTTTGTTTGAACGAAAAGTCAATAAAGTAGGTGAAGTGAGTGAAGTATATCTAGCGTGGAACGAAGAAAGGAAAGCAATAAAAAACTATTAAGCAAGAAAAAATGTTCTAGGAACGAAATAGTAGAAATCAAAGTGTTCCTGAGTGTTAGCTTCAGCCACTTCCTACATTTCCCGGAGACTTCAGGAAGTAGATTGAATTCTTTTCTTATATTCCTCCACCTATTTACCAGCTCTGCTGCTTTCTAATTCTGCTAGCATGCCACTCAGTGTATGACATAACTGCCAAGATCGACTAATCCGATTCCAGAGATTATTGCTAGTTAGTGGCATTGACCTCCACCATCAGGCAATCCCTCTGCTCGGCTGTGATGGGCAAAAGACCGTGGAGACACTCCCGCCGTCTTAATGTAGCGGATGAAACGTCATACCTGAAGATTCGTCGGATCCTTGAATGACTCTTCTTGGGCAGTCTGCAGTTTCTCCAAAATCCATATTTCGAGTTCATCAGCATCACTAAAACAGGTGGGAAATAATCCGGAACACTTTGGAAAAGAATACTTATACAAAGTAGAACAGAGACCGTTTGAAATACTGGTACTGACGAGCCTCCTCTAGGCGATCCCTCTTAATCTTCGCATGCTCTTTGAACTGCGAGTAATGGCCGAGGACTTCCTGACGACGATGCTAAAAAAGTTCTTTCAATGGCTTCTTTCAGCTCTTTCAATTCATTTCTACGGGTATGGGTACGTACGTGCGTCCGGAGGTGCGCGCGGCAAATCGTACGGCTGTTTGTGGCGATTTGAGCGACTTTTTTAGCGCCTATCATTGAGGCCTAAATTAGAAGTAGAGAAGATCAGAGGATCGGCTGATCCTATTAATGTACACTACTTCTGATTTGTGCCCCAATTATAGGCGCCGAAGTCGTTCGAAGAGCTACGAATTTCAGTTTACCGCGCGTATCTTGGGACGCGTGTATCTCCCGTAACCCCGTGGTGGGATAGCCCAATAGGTGCACTGTTGGTACACAATTGCAAACTGCAGATGGTAGAAATGAATGTGATCTTTCTCATATCTCTCACAAACTGTCGGGGTACTATTAACAAGGTTGATGGTAAACGAGCTGTAAGATTCGAGAGAATCTTCAGCCCTCTCCTAACTCGAGTGAACACTCAGTTTGAATCGATAGCGACAAATGAAGCAAGCCAGTCTCTTCTTAAGCTTTTTCAATTAATTCTGGCTATTGCTATAACATCAGCCAACATACGAGATGGTACGACAACCCTAACAGCTTATGAGCATAACTAACAAATAGCCAACTGATTAATAATGAGATCATCGTTGAAAACGCATGTGTATTGCATTCTATTACCTGAATATCTTCAGCGGTTTCCAGAATCTTAATTTCCGTTGGAGGAGGTACTTCGAGCACGGGCTCTGGTGGGGTTCCGTTGTCAGACATGACTATAAATGCAACAATGTACCAAAATATTGCAAACTAGTATCCATACTTGGAACGAAAGGTGTTCACTGAGTAAAACAGAAGCAGTTATAGCGTCAAGCGCGCTTACATTAACGACTGGAATCACAAACGGTTTGTTGGGCATAATTTTCCATTCGAAATATTGCAAGTGTGGCTAGTTCACAGAAGAGTTCAAGTTCAGCTCAACGTTAACTAGCTCAATTCAGATAAAGTCCTTGTAAAGGGTAGCAAAAAGGATTCAAAACAATGAAACACTTTAAAATAAAGCACTGGAAAAGAATCATTCTCTTAATGGAGGCCTGCATAGGCTAGATCTCCACGACGATCACGAAAAGATGAAATAAAAATGTTGTCAAAAAAATGTCGTAAAACTCTATATGCATCACACCTATCGATAACAAATAACGTACAACATCGGAATGAACGCTTACAAGGAATGGAAAGATAAACATAACAAAATAGTGGGAGTGATTAACAGTAACGAGAAAAAATAGAGTAGTTGGTGAGCAGCAGGCAACTGCCGGAACTACTTGTTCAGAAAAATCGAATTAGCATGGGTATACCACTTCCTCTAACTCCTGACCATGACAAGAAATAGAAGTCAAAGAAATCTCTAGTTTTGAACGGAGGCCCACTGGAGGACAAGCCTGTTGGCTCGATGACCAACGAGTTCTCGTTTATCTTCGATATTGTTTCTACAACATTTCCCCGAGCATTCAATGTGGAACTCGAAAAAAAAGACCGTCAAAGTCAGAATGTAGAAGGGATTTTAGCAGACGTAACTTTGCCTCCCCTAATAAAGGGATATGCATTCATGGAGAGGCTGCGAAGAAGGATTAGGATGCTCGCATTCTTCAACATGAGCCCTTACTCTATCCCTGACCTAGTGATGAAAGCTGCACGGCAGTTACGAAGACAACCCTGACTAACCAATTTCACTGGCAGTATACTAAACATCAAGAGCAGCCGCCGCAATGCACGTATGGAGCGTGCAACGAGGGAACGACGACACACCACACCCCTCCGCAAGGGCCCCATACTATTGCACAGTTGGCGATCAATAACGAGCGACAGGGTGCGCCGCAAAATGTCGTCTATCTCATGAGCAATCAACTGCTTTTGACTACGACACTCTTTCATCAACTATGGGCGCTACGCATAACACCTGCGAGAGAAAGAGTAACGTCCCAGAAAATATTTGTAAGAAGCGCGAGCATTCCTATAATCTTTCACAGCTATGTGCAAGAATAGTGACGGTGGAGCAAAGCTTTCCGCTTAAACAAGTGAAAGATCGGGGGTAGTCGATAATCACGTGACGTTGGCCTCTGTGACACATACCTTAGGGCCGTATGCATAATGCACAGGGTAGGGAAGGGAGGGGTGTGTTGCGATTCGTGCGATTCTGGGTGCGCGCGACAAATTGCGCGGCGAAATTCGGTGCGATTTGGACGACTACAACGTTTATCATTTGGGCCCAAATTTGAAGTAAAGTAGGTTAGTAGGATTGTCCGACTCTACCAAAGTACTCCCAATGATAGACGCCAGAGTTGTTTGAATCATCGCGAACCCCGCTCCAATCCAAATGTACATCGGGGCGTGGGTGCATGAAGAAAGGTTGCGTGCAGGATTCTCGAGATACGAGGTTCCCGAACCGAGGATGGCGCATTAATGTAAAGTTTGAAGTGTGAAGGAAGTGGCAAGTATCGAATAAGTAATCCTGAATGGATTGGTAATGATATAGTTCTTGCGACCTCTTTTGATTCTGGTTCCCGAACCGAAAATGGCGCTGTAAGCAGCCCCAAATCGCTGAAAATCCTGTGAAAGGTATGGAATAGCCGAACTCTCAACCCAACGGGTATTTAAAGGCACAGTTCACGATAATCTTGGGTAATCCAGATTATGATGGAAAATGGAAGACAATGTCGAAAATAGTGCGATGAAGGTGGACAAACTGCGTGAATCGGTGTTTCCAAAGTGAAAAAAGGTTCCGAGAAACCGTTAATGTGGGGGCTGGACGATAACGAGACCAGAAAAATGACGAAGAGTGGGGCGTTTGGACGAGCTACACACTGTGCATCATTGCGTACGTGTGGGTCCTGGTACGAATAACGGACTATGGTAAGCAAAAATTCATTCACTTATAAGCATAAGTAAACAAAAAAAACACTAGTAACAGCGAAAGTAGCTCACCGTTTTAAGCCTTTAGGAGTAGGAAATTAAATAAGGGATCGTGGCAGCAAAAAGAATAACAGAGGAAAAAAGAATGGGACGAAAACAGCGCCTCACCACTCGGCGAGCAGCTGATTGTGTGTGGGTCCTAGAACAAATAGTCGCAATCTGTATTGTCTCGACACTCGTCTGACGTGATGACGTGACATCGATCGAGAGGCGGGAAAGCCATTGACGTTCCCGACGCTCTTCTTCTTCTTCTTCTTCTTCTTCTTCTTGCCGACGTGCCCATTCATATCACCTGCTATGGTAACGTAGTCACCCTCCGGAACCGATGGATGGCCTCGTCAAGGTTCAGATAGAACTCATCCTTTACGTAGACGGGGCAGCCGGCTTGTGGTGCATACACTGATATTATTGTCCAATACCCCTCCTTCGTGTCTATCCTTACAGCCATGATTCTGCTACTGATCCTGCTGACGGCGGAGACGGAGCCTTCAAGGGACTCCGCTACTGCTATGGCCACGCCATTTCGTTTGGTGTCATCCCCATTGTAGTGGAGTTTAACACCCTCTCCGATTTCTCTGGCCTTTGCTCCCTTCCAGCGGGTCTCCTGGAAGCATAGGACTTGGATGTTTCTGCTTCATTAGATCGGCGACTTCTCGGGACTTCCCAGTAAGCGAACCCACGTTCAGAGTCCCAATTCGAACTAACTTCTTTGACCGAGGTCGTTCACTCCTCGGTAGCCCTCGCATACTGTCCACAGAACTCGGGCGGGGATCCTGTGGGCCACTTCCGGGTGACGTCCTAGCTTTATCACTGATACCTTTTGAGACTTTAGGCATGTTTGTTGTGACTGGGTTTCTCCATCAGCCGGCCTGTCAACCTGGCCTGACGCTGTATTATTTCTATTATTATTATTATTATTATTATTGTTGTTATTATTATTATTATCATTATTATTATTATTATTACCACTATTGCACATCCAAAATAACAAGACAAAATGCAAAATTTTGTCCATTTCGGTAGAATGAGAAAGGGGATGTTGAAGCGCTACAAGGGCTATCAGATTATAGGTTCGCGCGGCCTATGCCTGAGAGTGGGACGTGGGTTCATATTAGAGGTAACTGACACAGTAGGATATATACATATATACAGTATGAGGGCGTTTTGNTTTAACGATTAGAGAATATGTGGGATAAGCGCTGTACGGGGGCTCTTTGAACCGCCTATTCAAAAGAGTTCAAAGAAAAGGTCGCGACGTTGCGTTCAAATTGAGAAAATATGTCGACCGACCAATAGGGGCTTGGTTTATGGTTTTTCTCTACCGTCTAATGCCTCCGGCCGCAAGATTAGCTCCGGCACGGCCGCGCCAAGTCGCCAGCTTTTCGCTGGGGGAACCCCTATTGGCATGGTGCCAGTGGTTCTCACGGCGAGAAGCTTGACGCTCTGATTCGGTCTATGCCGGTAATCAGGTATGGGACAATGATGAGATTGAAGTGGAGTCTACTCTTCATCTGCTTCTTCTTCAAAGGCGACAAAGGAAAAAATAACATGTTATTATTGATAAACTCCGATATTAAGAAATCCGAAACCTTATCATGCAGTGGTAATCGGTACCTTTCGGAATTTGGTCAATTTTCTTCAAAACAGTAGATGTACTTTGGGGCTTTTAGCCATTTTTATGTGTATGATTTCCTGACACATGATCTACCGGATTGTACTTTCTGCAATTCCAATTTTCAAGCAAGGGTGAACGTGTGATAATGCCAAGAGTAGAAAAATAGTCCCCCCGAACTGTGCTAGTGTTCGCTAAAAATGGGAATGAGTTTGGAATATTGATGTGAGTTTCAAAAATGTCTCTCTTCTTGCTGAACTTTTCCTGAGTAAACTTCATTCATATGGTCCGTATACCGTATCCCAAGCTTTCCGCTGTAGGCGCCACCGACGCCAATCTTGCGGCTGATGGTGGCTGATCGCTTGGTGGCGCTATTGATTGGTTTGATATTTTAGGTATGGGGGCATCAACGGGTTTGAAACATGAGGAGTAAAACTTTAGACGGTCAGGAGGAACAATTTGTCGCCTTTGGCGACCTACAAGGTTAGTGATCGTAATGTCCGAGCGATCGATTTCATCGACCGCAAAGGGACCTTGCCATCGGTTTGTAAGTTTTGACCAACAGTATCGTCGTGTAAAAGGACTAGGTCGCCGATGGAAATATTTTTGGTGTATACCTTGTTCTGCAGGTCGTACCCTATCTTATATTGTATTTCGTTTCCCACAGCTGTGATGATGTTTTGCAGGCCAACTGCTAATTGGTCTGCCAAGTTAACTGATGCGAACACTGGGCGTGGAGGAAGCTCATGTAAGAAATCGCTCTATGTGATTGGGCATCTGCCGTGAGCAATGAACAACGGACTGTAACCTATTGTTGCATTGATACTAGGCAAATACCACAGGTTTCACGAAACCACACCATAACTCCCTAGCATTGGATTAATATGCCGTTAGTGAATCAGTGACGGACTAGTGTTCTACCTGGTGGTTAACTTTGTGATTATAAGTGGTAGTAAACTTCCTCGATACTCCCAGTGTTCAAATGATTTTTGCGAAACTATCGCTGGTATAGTTTGAACCCAGGTCCGAGCCTAGCTCTTTCGGAATACCGTGTTTCGAGATGAGATCATTGATCAGTGCGTTAATCACTGGCTCGTTTGGTTGATCTACCAACGGTGTGCAAACTATGAACTTGCTAGAAGCGCGTTGTGAATTTTTTGTTTATTTATTTGGTATTGTATTGTGCAGA